TGTCTTTGCACTAGGATGATGTCGGCGTAAATGTGCAGTCATATTCGTTGTGTTCCCACTAGTGCTTTCAGGTTAATCTCGTTGAAATGACCTTAACGCCACAACACGGCAAATCTCCGTTAACGAGCTACCGCCGATCGCCCCGTGCATGGGGCTAGACGGCCAACACGTTAACGAGCTAACTGCGCTAACACACTAGTTCCCACCCATGTAATTGAGCATTGCATGGCACATCCAACATACTGTTTTACTTTAGTCCATGACTCGCTTACCTTCAGGGTCATACGTCACATGAAAACCAAAATAATTCCAAACGCCAGATCTGAATGAGGGTGGGGGAGGTGCCCTGCGCTCTTCCTTCTGTCTATGCTGTCTGTGTTGAGCGCTCAGTGGATCTGCGCTCGACAGTGCAGCCTAGGCGGAGTAGTCGAACGCAGATTCACTGAGCGCTCAACACAGACAGCATCGTCAGAAGGAAAGTTGATAAAATAAATTACAAATTTTGTATTGTTCGATACATATGCGTACCGAACCGAAAGCACTGTATCGAACGGTTCAATATCGATACGAATATCGTTGCACCCCTAGTATATATATAAAACTGTACAATATACAAGACGTAAGTAATATGTAATAAATAGTGTTATGTATACAAGAAAAACTTTTTAGAATATCAACAAATTAAATCCATAGTAAAAAAGAAATTAAACCGGGTCAAGTTGAACTACAAACACCACCAAGTGTGGTTCAATTTCTTAAAAAAGAAGCAAAAGGAGATCCAAACTAAGCTTCACATAAGCATCGTCATGAATTCACTATACTTTTGCTGTTTTGCTTCCACCACGATAAAATCACACTTCATGCACAGCTCTCTCTCTCTCTCTGTACTTCAAGAACAGTTTCCCGTCTATCCCCGAAATCTGTTTTCTGCATTATTCGCTTGCTTGTTACGCACAAGACTACCGTTGTTTACAGCGCTGTCGGCCGATGTTTTTTCCTTTTACTTACTTCCGAAAAGAAAACCTAATTTCTGCCGTTCAACAGGCTTCTGAACAAATTTAAACTTTTTAAAATTATACAAAATGCAAAACGCTGTGTCTCTAATAAAACCGCTGTAACTTCAGAGGTAATGTTCATAAGTTGATTAATGGTTTTCTTTCGTTTTTGATGTACTGCAGAATATTTTTATAAAATCCAGGCCAGGAAAATCACCTTCATGTTTTTCTGTTTTTCAACTTCAGGCTATGACAGCGTCCTTATGTGCCGACACCGGTGTTTTAGCTAGCAAAGCGGCGTGGCTGATGTGGAGTGAAGCCACGTTAATGACAACGTGTACAACCATTGGAGATGTGAGCAGGACAGACGGAACAACTGACGGAAAAAGTGTGGACTTTATACCAGTTTTTAAATTGTGTTGATCGGCCACGTAAAACCAGAGTTATGATAAAAATATCTGCAATGTTTGTTTTTCTTCCTGAATACTGTCGTTGTTTATATTTACTGCGGGAAGAAACGGTAAAAACGGCGTTTTATAAGGAAAACGCTCGAAAGCCTGTGAGCAAAAACAAACAAAAAAACCCCACCCTTTCCTATTGGTGGAAAAATGTACCATGTGGACCAATCAAAAAATGATATGGCAACATGACATTTAGTTGTTTAGGAAAGGGGGAAGTTTTAGGAGTGACGGCGTTTTGAGATGTGAGAGTTTTGAATTTAGATTATAAAGTTGGTGCTGTTGCTTAGGGCTGGGCCATATTATACCGTTCACGGTAATACCGGTATAATGTTAGGCAACGATAGGAAAATGAAATATCGCGATAGAATATGAGTAAAACGCGCATGCGCAGTGCCTTTGTTTTCATACGCACATGGCCGATTGTTGAGTGAAACAGATGAACCAGAATTGGTTTGTAAAAATGGTGCAACTTCAGTGATGTGGAACTGGTTTGGTGTTTGTCCGTCAGATACACGACAAAGCACATTTTTTTGCAGAACATGCAAGCGGCCGTCGGACTAAGATGCTCTTAAATCTGGGAGTAATCTGGGTCCTAAACTCCGTATCTTCAGGTCAAACAACACTGCAGCATCACTGAGAGTTAAAAACTGTCTAAATTCTTTCATCTTTAATAAAACGATCAGCATTGCTGCTTTACCAGGTGTAACTATGAAGTTTAACTTCCAGGCATCCATGAAAACAAAATTTATTACATTTAACGGAGTTAGAAGCTAGCGGAAGTTAGCTCGCTAGTTTCGCTAGTTACCTAAGCATGATATTGCATGTTCTGACTGAGAGATTTCTGAAAAAAATCAAACGTACAGCTCTGCTATCACTTCCAACATAAATGAAGACAGGAAACTAAACAGCAGTGACGTTTGTAGGGTTACTGAAGTTGGGCTAGCTGGTATATAATTATGTGCTACGTGATCGCTAGCGACACAGCTATGTTAGCATAACATAAACAGTGAAGCTGGAGGACAAACACTAACACTTTTCCACTTATAAAAGTTAACGTTAAGGTTCCTCATGGTTAGAGACAAATGCAATCGCATGGCAGGATGCTGTAAAAGGACCAATCTTCAGTCAGGAGAACAACTGAGATAATCCATCCACAATACGAGGTTAGTCATTAATATACTGCAACAACATGGGAATAGAGCAGCTGCCAGAGAATTCAACATTAATGAATCAATGGTACAGAAGTGGAGGAAGCAAGAAGAATGAGTTTAATAAAGTTTGATTTATCTGACTGCTTTGTTTCGCTTAATGTGCCTTATAATCCCGTGCACCTTATGGTCCGAAAAATACGTACTGCACACTGCAGTTTAATGTTGCAAAGCACCTCTTTTTAACTTCAGTGGATATTATACATGGTTATGCTCAGGATATGTCAGCCCATTTCTACTGGAAATGCCTTTTGGTTAAACTTTCAGCAAGGAATTTGCATTTGCACTGTTACATTTTTATAAAGCTTTAATGTACATAAAAACCAGCTTCTTGTTTAAGTGAAAATAAATGATAGGTTGTCTTTTTGCGCTAGTAATGTTGTGGAGTTGTATTTTGTCTCGCATCAATTATATCGTCAGTTATATCGTTATCGCAAATTTTCAAATATATATCGTGATAAATATTTTTGGCCATATCGCCCTGCTCTATTCTGTTATTAGTTTATTTCAATCCGGTTGTTCAGTCTGACGTCACTAGCCGTGTCTGGGTCTAAACTCCGCTGCAGGTCCATATATCAAACGATCACTATGGCATTACTGAGAGTTGAAAAACTGTCTAAAGTCTTTCATCTTTAATAAAATGATCAGCGTTCTGCTCTACCAGGTGTAACAATTGAGTTTAACATCCAGGCATCCATGAAAACGGAATTTATGACATTTAACGGAGTTAGAAGTTAGCAGGGAGTTAGCTCGCTAGCTTCTATCTAAATACAATATAGCATGTCCTGACTGCGGGGTTTTGGAAACAAATTAAAACGTACAGCTCTGCTATCACTTCCAGCATAAATGAAGACAGAAAACTAAACAGCAGTGACGTTTGTAGGGTTACTGAAGTTGGGCTAGCTGGTATATAATGATGTGCTACGTGACCGCTAGCGACACAGCTATGTTAGCATAATATAAACAAGCTAACTTTTTTTCCACTCGATAAAAGTTAACGTGAGTGTTCTCGGTGGTCAGGAACAAATGTAATCGCATGGCAGGATGCTGTAAAAGGACCAAACTTCAGCCAGGAGAACAACTGAGATAATCCATCCACAATACGAGGTTAGTCATTCATATACTGCTGCATGGGCTGGGCTGTAGTTACATCCTAAGGTTTTAAAAACTGAGCTTAAATAAATGATTAGCGGTAATAAAAGCCGAGGGAGGTCAACAGTGATCACTGACTGTTTTAGGAGCTTTTTGAGATCAAATAGAAGAAAATACAATAACATTAAACATGTTAACAACACAAAAGCCATATTAAACGCAGACTACTTTAGACCCGGAAGTAGGATTCGTCACGTCATCACTTAACAACCGGATAGTTTTGTTGTGTGTGTGAGAACAATGAGGCGACTGCTGAATGTTACAGGTGTTACAGCAGTCATACATCTGCTGTTGTCAGGCCTGCAGGTATCAGGCTGTTGTTCTCCTTCATCTCATAGTGGACAGAAATTATTTTTTGGAGCGCACAAATAATTTGTGTGGCATCAGATTTGATGCAGAACAGCTGATTGTTCTGTAAATAGTTTGAAATGTTTATTTAAAAAACGCCTTGGCTGCATTTTTAGGTAAACAGCTGCAAAAAACTTTGTTGTTTTACTTTTGAAGAAGTAACTATATAATTAATTGCCCAACATTGGTCATTATATACTGTATTTTGCAGACAGAGAGTTACAGGACTCTCTCCCAGACCACAGACTCATACTCATAATACAAGTCAGAGCTTTATTTAAAAAAAGAAAAAAAAAGAAAGAAAGTTGTGTTTTCAAAATTGGAGTTATTTTTACTTCCAATAGTGTTAACATACTACACAGGTCATGAACAAGATTTTTTTTTAAATTTTCATTGTAAGTGGGCTAAAGCAGTTAATTAAAAGTAGTCTAACATAAATGCTGTAATTTGATTATTTTAATAAACCATGTAACTTGGATGGATTCGATGCTGGCGTGACCACAGTGCACAAGGCGCTCAGGGAGTTTGTTGTGCTCGCTCAGACACATGATAAATTAGAGGAAACATTGCTGGTCACATAATAGCAAGCACAGTCATTTATAGAAATCTATTTTTTTATTATTTGAGCAGTGTTATCAGTGACTTTCGTACCATGTTTGTGAGCATTTCCCACATATGCAAAGGAAGAGGGTCAGAAAGTACAAGTGATGTACTTTCAAGCATGCTTCTCCACCATGAAAACTTTGGAGAAAAATGTGTCTGTTTTAATTAGTGGAGTGTAAAATGACAGTAAGTATTTGCAGGCTCAAGATGGTCCATTTTTCATGTTTTAATGTTTAGAAAACATGTCATGCATAACTGCTAAAACTCAGTTACTAAAGCTCTTTCAAGCAGTAATGTGTACAAATTACGCCGTAACTGATCAATTATGAGACGTTTTCCCAGCCACTACGTGAGAAGTGGTCATTTCCCATGCTCTCAAAGTAGCGCGCATTGTATCGGGTGGGGGCTGCTGTTAACTTGTCCCTCAGTGAACGATGGCGTCGTCTTCCAACAACACTGCTGGCGCGAACAATCAGGTGAGTGTTTAAGTTTGGAACAATTACACTGCAGTCTGTGAATACTACGAATTTAAGAAGTGGCTATTGTTACGGTTAATTTTTCGGCTATTCTGTTTTTTTATTTTATAACGTTTTTTGCTGAAATGCTAGCTCAACAGAAACGCCTCGCTATCATTTTCGGCTGAAACTTACATCCTAGTTGATCTGTAAGCTTGGAGAACAACAAAGTTAGTGAAGTAACGTAAAATTCTTTGTATTTAATTTAGGAGCAGCTAAAAAGAGAGATGCTTCAGCGACTACTGCATAAAGTTTCCCAGGTCATGCACAGACAACCCCTCGATGTGGACTATTTGCAGTTTGTTATCGACCATGAGATGGTCCTTTTAAGATCTTTGTCCGATCAGGTTGAGATCCCTCAAAGTATTATAAATGCTCTGATAGAGCTGTCAACTGTGCTCAGTATGGAGGACGTCAATGAACAAACCCCCTCTCAGATGTCAGTGTCAGAAGGAAAGCTGGGACGTCCAAATTACAATGTATCGCCTGTACAGCTCCAGATACTGACAGAAATGTTCTTATCAATCACCCAAATTGCAAAACTTCTTGGAATATCTGTGAGGACAGTGAAATGTCGTTTGCATGAATATGGCATTTCCATAAAGCAGTGCTACAGTACAACAAGTGATGAAGAGCTGGACAATTTAGTAAGATCTATAAAGACAAGAACACCTCATGTTGGATACAGGATGATGAAAGGGATGGTTCAAGCCATGGGCCACCATGTACAGTGGAAGAGAGTGTACTCGTCGATGCACCGTGTGGACTCTGCTGGTATTTTCTCAAGAATGACAAGGCTGGGATTTGTGGTCCGAAGGACATATTCAGTGCAAGGTCCTCTTTACTTGATGCATATAGACACAAACCATAAACTAATAAGGTAGGATGAAGTCTGACAATACTGCTAAATACTGAATTATGTTTTATACCTGTTAATGCCCTAGTTGTTGTTTTTGTTGTTCTTTTTACAGATTTGGCCTGGTGATATTCGGAGGGATAGATGGGTACTCAAGAAAGGTGATTTTTCACTTTGAAAATTGAGCTGAATGAGATGTTAATTGAAAAGTGAAATACTTGTGTTTTGGTCTACCATAAAACTTACCATATACTGTAATATAGAGATCCTTCTGTAGAACAAAATGTTCCTAATCTGTTTATGTTTGTCAGTATTTGGTGACTTTAAATGCTTGGTAAACTAATTCTTCAAGTTGCTAAAAGGATCTTTTTTCTTTTTTTTTACCCTTTGCATTTGGGTGCATAGTTGATTACAAGTACTGCTACATCTCATGGCAGCTTGCTACCTTGTGAATTATGTAGCCTGCTTTTTTTCTTTTACTTATAAATATAAAATAAATGTACCAAGCTACAATACCTGATAAACATGTTTATCTTTAATTATAGTAACTTGACTTGACCAAGTTTCCACTTAATGATATTTACATCTCTAGATCATGTACCTGGGTGCTGCTGCCAACAACAGAGCATCAACTGCACTTGCTTTCTTCTTGGAGGCTGTACAAAAGTATGGCTTTCCATTGAGGTAAAATCTACACAAAGTTAATTTTCACAATGATAGTGCAAATGTGTAAATATGATTCCCCCCCCTTGATGAGCAGTGTAATTATTTTGACATGCAATATGTAAACTGTAGCCTATATGATCAGTTGTTTATAAATCCCCATACACTTGTTTAAATGGTTCAAACATTTAGAGTTCTTGAAAGGTGTGCTTATACAGAGCTGCACACTGTTGCATGACCAAAACAATAAACTTCTAATAACCAGTCTAAAGTAAAATTATATTAAAAACACAAAGGCTGCAATAAATTTTAAGAGTGACATGTTTTTTTTAGATTTAAAACAAATTGTACTGTCGATGTTTAATTTTGTTTCAGAGTTCAAGGGGATCAAGGGGTGGAAAATGTTGGAATAGCAAGATGCATGTTCACCATCCGGGGCTGTGGAAGAGGAAGCTTTCTGTCAGTCAGGCAAGAGTGTTCACAACCAAAGGTATGTGTAGTATTTGTATAAATGTTCCATGGAAATAAGAAAAATGTTCTTATATATTTTTCAATTCAGTGAATTTCTGGGTAAAATTCTGAAAACGTTGCCATATTTTGATGTTGAACAGAATAGAGCGCTTGTGGCGAGATGTGTGGATGGCTGTTTCAAGCGTGCACTATGAAACCCTTCACAACCCTGAGGATGAAGGCCTTCTGGATCCCACTGAATAGTTTCCACATGTTTTGTGCCCAACATACATTTCTTCCACGTCTGCAGAGGGATCTGGATGTCTTTAGACAGGGTTGGGATAACCACCCTCTAAGGACAGAGAGGAATCTGTCCCCACAACAACTGTGGACACTGGGACTCCACCAGAATCCAGTTGATACTCCAGACACAGTGAAGGTACTAAAACAAATCTAAATTATACAATCCCTCTTTAATCAAGTTTCAAAAAGTGCACTTGGAGATGTTGAAAAAAACACGGTGTCCTGTCACTGCAGACTATCAGCTTTAAGTTGAGGGTATTTGCATCCAAATCAGTTAAAAGTTGTAGGAGTTACAACAGTCTGCATGTGTACCCCCCACTTGTTAAGTTACCAAAAGTAATGAGACAGAACATTAATCATAACTGAAACTGGATCGCAGAGACTTCAGCAGATGTTGGGCTTCATACCTGCTGATGCTCTGTCAGGCCTCTACTGCAACTGTCTTCACTTCCAGCTATTATTGAGGCATTTGTCCTTCAATTTTGTCTTCAGCAATGAAACACTGCTCCGTCAGATTCAGGTCAAGTGATTGACTTGGCCACTGCATAACATTCCACTTCTTTTAACTATTTGTTTTTTTTCTGCAGAATGCTTTAAGTGATTGTCCATCTGGACCATCAAGTGCTGCCTCATGAGTTTCGAAGCATTTGGCTGAATATGAGCAGATATATTGCCCAAAACACTTCAAAATTTATCCTGCTGTTTTTGTCAGGAGTTGCTTCACTAAATACAAGAATATCACATCCCTGGCCATGGAACATCAGAGAAGCCAATTGTTCCATTACTTTTGGTCCCTTAAGTGGAAGGCACATATGAAAACAGTTCAAATACCTCAGTTATAGCCAATCGTGTTAGTTTCATTTCAAATCCATTGCGTGGCATATAGAGCCAAAAGTAGAATTCCCATGTTCCAATATTTATGGAGCTGACTGTTTGTCTTGAATTTCCCAACACTGTTTTTGAATTGTCATTTGAAATATCTTTTTTTTTTAAATCATCACAGGAAATCGAGGATGCGTACTTAGATGTTAACTCTATTGGTGAGCTGGATGGGAGCAATCCTGGAGTAATTCTTCCATCTGTTGAATGTCCTCTATCTGAGGAGGACATGGCAAGACTAAGAGACACTGTCAATGTAACAAGGCCCTCTCAGTCACATGGCCGAGACATTTATTTGGATGTATTTAACTTTGTACTAACTCACCGTTCCTAGGCGGCAACATTTTTATTTTGAATTTTCAACCCAGAGAAGGTTCATGAATAGCTCAGACTTTTATTTGATGTGATATACATGTAAAATGAACCTGCCAGGAAATTTTTATGTGAACGCTCAAAACATCACATTACAAACTATTTTTTTTGTCTCTGGCACATTTTTCAACAGTAAAACTGTATGTTTTTGTGTGCTTCATGCCACTCATTAAAGAACTCTGGCTGTCAATCTCCAACTTTGAAATGTGCTTCCTGAACATTAAATGGAAGGAGCAGCATTTTTGAGTTACACCTCAAAACTATTGACAGACAATGCTATGCTTTACACATTGTTAAATTCCTGGCCAAGATGAAAAGCCTCCAGCAGAACCATTCTGAATTGTCTATAGGACTTCATATGTTTCACAGGCAGGACAATGGTCTTAGCACAGGATGACACAACAGGATAGCAGATGCTGTGATTTCCAAAGTCAGCTTCACAATTGTGATTAAATTTTACCGCCACAGCAAAGTCCTTCTTTTCTGAGGGGAGGAGAGGAACATGGCCTTGACCGGTGATCCATTGCAGAAACCTGGCCGGTGTGATAGATCTTGGGCCATCTTCGTCAGCTACATGTTCTTGACCTTCTGTTAGGATAAGAGTGAATTTTAAGACGTTTTGAAGAACCCTGGCCTTTTGGACAAAAAAAATATCTAAATATTTGAATTCGATACAAGTGTAACTTTTTTCACTAAAACCTTAGAATATAATTTTGGAATGTGACAACTATAAACTAGACAAAAATAACCATTTACCTTCTGACTCATAAAGCAAGTCCTGAATGAAGTTAACCAGGTCCAGCTCAACCTGATGCTTGGAGGTCCCCTTCTCACTCAGCTGAGGGTGAATGGACGCCATGACAAACTCGGCACTAACCTATGATGATATTAGAAAGCAAAGCAACCCAACGGCTTGATTACTTCAGGGCTGCAGTATTCGGGCCCTAGAACTTTTCCACAGTTTGTCACATTATAGCCACAAACATGAACATATTTTATTGGAATTCAACATAAAAGACCAATAAAAAGTGGTAAACAATTGAGAATTGTAACAAAATTCATCCATGATTCAAAACATTTTTTTTACAAATAAATAACTGAAAAGTGTGGTGTGTGTAATTATGCAGCCCCCTCAGTCAATACTTTTTAGAAACACCTTTTGCTGCAATTACAGCTCCCAGTCTTTTAGGGTATTTTTCTACCAGCTTTGCACATCTACGGACTGACATTCTTGCTCATTCTTCTTTGCCAAACTGCTCCAGCTCAGTCAGATTAGATAGACAGCGTCTGTGAACAGTAGTTTTCAGATCTTGCCACAGATTCTGGATTGGATTTAGATCTGGACATTGACTGGGCCGTTCTAACACATGGAAATGTTTTGTTTTTCTATTGTTGCCCTGGCTTTACTGTATGTTTAGCAATCATCAGGAAATGTCTATGGGCAACTGACTACACTGAGACCAAAAGGGGCTGAATAATTACACACACCACACTTTTCAGTTATTTATTTGTAATAAATATTTGGCATCATGTATGGTTTTTGTTCCACTTCTCTAATGTACACCACTTTGTGTAGGTGTTTCATTTATAGTTCAAATAAAATAGATTCATATTTGTGTCTGTAATGTAACAAAATGTGTAAATGTATGTAATACATACATGTAAAACTGAAAATACGTTTGTACTCACTTTTACATCTCCCCCAAGGACGAAGAGAGGCTGGCAGATTTCTGGGTATTGCTTAATCAGCAGGTGGAGGCCATACAGCTGCAAACCCTCCTTGAGTTGTTCCAACATTGGCTGCAATCTAAGCACAGCATGGAGTGTAATGGCTCTGTGGGTACAAAAAAGAGATTAAACAACATCTTCAGATGCTATTTTTCTTACATTCATATAGAAAAACGAAAACATGTCACAGCATACCAGACAATCGGTTCCTTGTTTTGAACCGAGATGGCTCCAGTGAATCCACAGTTTAAAATCTCATCAGTAAGGCCCTGAAGTGACTGCTCAGTTGAAGATTCCACCTAAAAGTAATTTAGCAGATGAATTATTATATATATAGAAGCATTTGAAGTCCTGGAGTGGCCTAGCCAGTCTCCAGACCTCAACCCCATAGAAAATCTGTGGCGGGAGTTGAAAGTCCGTGTTGCTCGGCGACAGCCCCAAAACATCACTGCTCTCGAGAAGATCTGCATGGAGGAATGGGCCAAAATACCAGCTACTGTGTGTGCAAACCTGGTAAAGACCTATAGTAAACGTTTGACCTCTGTTATTGCCAACAAAGGTTATGTTACAAAGTATTGAGTTGTATTTTTGTTATTGACCAAATACTTATTTTCCACCCTGATTTACGAATAAATTCTTTACAAATCCTACCATGTGGATTCATGGATTTTTTTTCACATTCTGTCTCTCACAGTTGAAGTGTACCTCTGGTGCAAATTACTGACCTCTGTCATCATTTTAGTGGGGGAACTTGCACAATCGGTGGCTGACTAAATACTTTTTTGCCCCACTGTAGCTGCAATGTGTACTAAGGCAATATTTTTACTAGTTATACAGCACCTGGTCAATCAGTAACCGCAACTGTGAATCTGCCACTGTATTTTTATCCAGCTGTGTTGGGTTGATCTGCCCATTGCAGAGGTAACTGTAAGCCCACTGGCTGAAAAATGTAGGGGCAGGACCTCCTTGTGCCAAACTGACGGACAGAATCTCACCAACAGTACTACTTATACAAACAGCATGAGTGTATTGCTTATAGTATAAAACATGACAGTTTTCCCTTTCTTTAAAATAAACATGCCTGAAGAGTCCACTGTCAAAGTCAGTAAGGGAATAACGTGGACTTTTTTGATGTGGTGGTCCTTCAAAGAAACGAGTCTCGATTCCGGTGACCATTTCTATTGAGAGAAGAAAGTTATGAATTATCCGATGTAAAACATTCATTTAGAGCTGGGTGAAATAAGATTTTCGAACGTATCACAGTATTTTCATAATACAATACATCAGTTATATATATATATAAAAAAAAAAACCCAGCACGCCCCTGCGGGCGGTTTATCCTTCAAGCTCGGGTCCTCTACCAGAGGCCTGGGAGCTTGAGGGTCCTGCGCAGTATCTTAGCTGTTCCCAGGACTGCGCTCTTCTGGACAGAGATCTCCGATGTTATTCCCGGGATCTGCTGGAGCCACTCGCCTAGCTTGGGAGTCACGCACCTAGTGCTCCGATTACCACGGGGACCACCGTTACCTTCACCCTCCACATCCTCTCGAGCTCTTCTCTGAGCCCTTGGTATTTCTCCAGCTTCTCGTGTTCCTTCTTCCTGATATTGCTGTCATTCGGAACCGCTACATCGATCACTACGGCCGTCTTCTTCTGTTTGTCTACCACCACTATGTCCGGTTGGTTAGCCACCACCATTTTGTCCGTCTGTATCTGGAAGTCCCACAGGATCTTAGCTCGGTCATTCTCCACCACCCTTGGGGGCATCTCCCATTTTGACCTCGGGACTTCCAGGTTATACTCGGCACAGATGTTCCTGTACACTATGCCGGCCACTTGGTTGATGGCGTTCCATGTATGCCTTGCCTGCTAGCATCTTGCACCCTGCTGTTATGTGCTGGATTGTCTCTGGGGCATCTTTACACAGCCTGCACCTGGGGTCTTGCCTGGTGTGATAGACCCCAGCCTCTATGGATCTTGTACTCAGAGCTTGTTCTTGTGCTGCCATGATTAGTGCCTCTGTGCTGTCTTTCAGTCCAGCTTTGTCCAGCCACTGGTAGGATTTCTGGATATCAGCCACCTCCTCTATCTGCCGGTGGTACATACCGTGCAGGGGCCTGTCCTTCCATGATGGTTCCTCGTCTCCCTCCTCTTTCTTGGGTTTCTGCTGCCTGAGGTATTCACTGAGCACTAGGTCAGTTGGGGCCATCTTCCCAATGTATATATACAATATATATATATACACATATATATATACATATATATATATATATGTATATATCATAATGTGTCTCACTGATTTTGAAGGCTTAACATGACAGATGTACTGAAGGAACATCATACATCTGTTCCAGATATGTAAAAATTCCATTCAAAATGAAAATATTGATTCAAAAAAGATGCCCTGCGATGGACTGGCGACCCATCCAGGTTGTACCCCGCCTCTCGCCCTGTGACCACTGGAGATAGGCACCAGCACTCCCCGCGACCCCACAAGGCATAAGCAGCCAAGAAAATGGATGGATGGATGGATGATTCAAAAAAGAAATCATAGTATACAGAAAGGTGTACTTGAGACAATAATATTGACACCTTTTATCAACACCAAACCAGTAAGCTCATAACACAACATAGTCACATCACAGCCATGCTATGGTTAAAAAAACCCGACTATTTTCCCTGTGTTACCGGTGTTTTGGTTTTCGACCTTGGTTTTCTCATTTTTGGTTTCGGCCAAGAACTTTCATATCAGTCCATCCCAAATTATAAACATGATTGATGTATAGTTTAGTAAGGGAGAAATATAGTCATATTTACAACACAACTGGAGCAGAGTTCACTTAGAAGATAAAATATATATTACAGAAGTATAAAATTTAGGGATTGGTCATTTCTTCAACATAAATAATACGAATGGAAAAGTAATTGATCTCTTTAAGTTCACCTGTGAGAAATTGTTTTCGAAAGGCACCAGTGTTGATTCCTGCTTCCCCAAAGAAGGACACCTTCAACATGGCAGTGGGTGAATTTTTCTTTTGACGTTGCCACTGCAGAAGGCCTCTCTCCAGAATGTTTGTTCTTGAAATAAGGATGCTGAACTGCTTCTCCACATCAACTCTTTGACAAATCGCATCCAACACATCGTCGACACTAAAAAAATCCATAAATGAAAGAATAAACACTTTTTATTCAGTTCAGAGTATTAATAGTCATCTGTGTGTGTGATGTTTTTTACCTTTTCATATGGTCCTCTTCTACTATGTTCTCCTCAATTTCATCCACATCTACTACATTTTTGCTTCTAATAAAAATAAAGAAAAAGTTGGTGTGTCAATGGGAAATTCTCAAGATGTTATATCCTATATGTAATTTTAAAAGCCCTGCTTTTTCAACTACCTTTATCCACATGTGCTTTCATGGATTTCAAGGAAATAAGGTGCAAATTTCAAGTTACAGATAGGACACTGAAGTTTCTAAAACAGAA